TAGAGCCAACAGTCTTTCTGGTATATGTAATATGTGCACCTGGAAAAACACTTTTTTAAAAGTGAAAAAATCATAGAAATTAGTTTTTCTTTTATGATTTATGACATTATAACTTTGTCATTCTGCACAAAAGGCATTTTTGAGTTCTCTCTACTTCTATCCATGGCTGTGCTGTTTCCTTAGAGGTGCAGGACTTTATATTGTGGTTAAAAATGAGCCCACACTAGATGGTGTCTACAGCAAAATGCATCCAGAAATTGCTTCGAGTTTAGAGGGTTAAAGCTGCTCTTATCTATATGTTTTTAACTATTTTTCTTGGGGGGGAAATGGATGTCTTTATTTCCTGGCAATGCAGAGAATCAGCACAACTTTCTGTCTCTTTCAGCTCGTTGTTCTGGTTTTGCTGCTCCACAGATTTACTGTTTTACTCCGGTTACATCAACAGGCAGCGATTTTCAGCAAACAAACTCTAAAAGCAGCTTCTCCTCCACCAGCACAGCAAGAAGGAAGAGACTAAAATCAGAGTAAATATTGTTGAACTGTCAGGTGGCCAGATTCACTCCAAATAAACACTAATTCATTTCTGTGTCTGCAGCTGTTTCCTAACAAGTCCACCACATTAACTTTATTAGGAAAGGTCTGTGTGGTGTTGCAGCTGCAGCTTCTTCTGGCTGCACACATGTGGCCAAAACTCATCTGCCCGTCAGCTGCTGTTAGCGAGAACAGCGACACTGTCAGAGCAGATCTGAAATGAGCAGTAAATGAATACAGGTAAACAGAGTGCAGCTAACCGGCCAAAAAATAACTCACAGCAGATTTAAAGCCTTAAAGAAGCGCAGCCTTTGGAGAAACAGCGCTTATACCCGCGCTCTGCTTTGCATTTGGATTATTTCTACATGATGTGACCAGAAAGACAAAAGGGCTGATCTGTTGACACACATGTTCCATATGTGTCCAGGAGATTCCCAACAATGGGTCCTTTCACAGCAACACAGTCCGAGTTGTTCCAGCAGGAAAATCACATTAATGGTGGCGAGAGGGGACGACGAGCCAGCAGGCACGCTATCATGACTCTTTATCAGTTTAAATTATTCAAACCTCTGCTTTTAGTTCAGTGACGTCAAACCTCAGTTAAAAAAAAACACACACCGAGTTCCATTTGTGCGCTCAGAATAAATTGAGGCAAATTATCGAGTTACATTTCAATGACGGTATTGTTTGTGAGATTTTGCTTCTTAATAAATTGGAGTGAAACTAACCAAAAACAAGTGTTCTGTTGCTGAGGCGGCCGCCGTCCAGAGGACAGCTTCAGTATTTCCTTTCCTTTCTTTCTTTTTTGGTTGCGTGAGCCAGTGGTGATGGTGATTTAATGATTTCCTGTTTCTCCTCTGAGATGATTCCACCTGTCTGCACATGTTGTTGTTTAGCACATGAATTCATTTTCCAGCATATTTCTTGTTATTTTCTTTATTTTGGTGACCGAAAATCCCCTCAGAAGTGCCGTTATGGTTCTAATTATTGCTCTTTTTCGTCTTTGTGTCACATTTTAGACTGCGATAACGTGTTTAAATTCTTTTTTAAGCTGTAAATGAGCCTTACGTTAACAAATAAGGACTTTGTTTTTACGATGTTTTGTGTGGATGCTGTCCCGTGTGCAGGGCCTGAGCCCAGGATGTTATGATACCTACAACGCAGACATCGACTGCCAGTGGATCGACATCACAGATGTGAAACCTGGCAACTACATCCTCAAGGTTTGTCAGAAATACCAGACGACTTCCTTCTGAGACACGAAAACACTTTTAAAGAGTTGCGTTTCTCTGGAATCACATCGTGTTCAAACCGCTCACAGTCTGGGCTTTTTTGTTTCCTCGCTGCTCTGCCATCGATTCGTGTGTTTTTGTTCCCCGCGCAGATCAGCGTAAACCCGTACTACCAGGTCCCAGAGTCGGACTACAGCAACAACGTCGTGCGCTGCGACGTCCGCTACACCGGCAACTACGCCTACGTGTCGGGGTGTCACATGTCACCGTAAGTGTCTCGTCTGAGGTGATGCATTTCTCTTTCATATTCCTCATTAATTCTTTTGTTTTTTTTTCCAGATATTAAGAAACGATAGTCATCCACAGTGGAAGTGACGATGAAGAGGACTGCATATGAAAATTAAAGATTTTGTAAGACGTACATTCACTCTGTAATTTAAATACTCCCAGTTTAGAAGAAAAAAACAACAAAAACAAGTAGGAACCATGTGTTGTTATAGCGCCGGATAATGTTGAATTCTTCTTTTGCTTGTGTGGGAAAACACCGTTTAATCTTCTTACTGAAAAGCATATTCCTATCTCTACTTTTCTTTCCTACAGTTTTCGTTTCTTACTTCTGCTGGATTGTACTGTATGTTTGCATTTTGTGCCACTTGTAAGATAGTTAAAGAATAAAATCAGTGAAGTTTAGACAAAACACAAACATATATCAGCTCGAGGTGGAGTGCAGGACTTTTACGTATAAATGAACATCCGCTACGTTTAAATTAGGTGTTCATTGGAGCGATCGTAGTCTTGGAAAACGATAAATCATCAGTGCACATAGACACTGTTTGTGTAATTACTCTCACTGCCAGAAGGGGGAGACAAAAGTTCCGCTCTGCAGGTTTAAGTCACTACATCACATTTTAAAAAGGAACCAGGTGCTTTAAGGAAATTGTATTTGTCATATTTATATGCAACAGATGAAACTCTCTTTATTAAACATCTTTTGATGAAACTTACTTGAATAAAACTTTGTGATATTGTATTATTGTTTGAGACTAATTATTTTATTGAGGGGCTTCTCTGTCCTTGTCATGCCGCTGTTTCTTACATTTTTCTTTGTCTTATTGTTTTTGCACAAAATGAAATTTTAAAAACCTGCTTTTTGCATTTCGGAAAGGTTTAAATTGGGTTTAAAGGCAGGAGGCACCTTTTGTTGTTGAAAATTGAGGCCGTTTGCGTTTCCCCAATTTTCCCTTTGGGGTTTCAAATTGGTTGATTGGTTTTAAACCACCCCTAAGGTCCCCCAAGGTCCTAGAAAAATCTCCTCAAACAATCCCAAAGATAATCAAAAGGACACTAAAAAGATACAGAATGACACCAAAAGGGCAAACAAATGACCACAGAGATGCAAACCAACACAAATCACCCCACAGACAAACAAAGGGACACCAAAAAGACACAAAATGACCAGTCTGAAAACCACCCCACATGGCTGCAAAATCAAACCAGAGACACTCAAATGAATGCAGAGATACAAAACAACACTAAAGATACGCAAAACCACACCCAAGAGATACAAAACAACACTAAAAAGAGTATAAAAGCAACCCAAAGATAAAAACAATGGCATTGACAGGGGAAAAAATTAGCAAAGAGATGCAAAACAACACCCCATAAGACACAAAATGACCCCAAAGACACACAAAAAAACCCCATCAACCACCAAAAGGCAAACAAAATGACACCAAAAAGATGTAAAACAACCAGAGATGCAAAACCATCCCAAATTCATGAAAAATTACACTAAAAAAGACTAAACATGACACCAAAGAGATGCAAAAATGAAGGCAGCACGACCAAACCAACACAGAAACACCAAACCACGCTGAAGGGATACAAAACAACACCAAGGAGAAACAAAATGACCCCAAAGTCACACACAAAATACCACTAACTGCCCCCAAAAGGCAAACAAAAGGACACAGAAGAGATACAAAACACCAAGAGGTGCTAAACCACCCTAAATACATGC